AAAAAAAAAACAATTTTACATGACTAGAATGAACGGTTCATACGAAGCTTTGGAAGGAGGTTTCACAATGGAGGCTATGGGAGATTTCACTGGTGGTGTGTCAGAAATATTTGAACTGAATAATCCACCATCTAATTTGTTCATGATTATGCTAAATTCATATCAACGAAAATCGCTCATGTGTGGTGCAATACTCAATTCGCAATCGGTTAGATTTTCAACTTTATTTAAAAAAATGTTTAGTTTTTAATTTTCATCATTTTAGATTTCATTTATAAACTGTATAAAATGTATTAATGTTAAAGCCTGACCCAACCAAAACAGGATTAATCAAAGGCCATGCATATAGTATTACCAGGATAACTTATATACCTTTACCAACAAGAAATAGTATAATACCTTTAGTTAGACTTCGAAATCCTTGGGGTAATGATAGTGAATGGAACGGCCGTTGGAGTGACAAGTAAGCTTTTTGTTATAATGTGAAGATTCCTTTTTTTTACTTAATGTTATTTATAAAAGTGCCATTTTAATTTATTAATTTTATAATATTTTATAGATCAGATGAATGGTTAACTATACCCCCACAATTACAACAATCAATAGGTCTTATAAAAGAAGATGATGGCGAATTTTGGATGTCTTACGAAGATTTTGTCAAATATTTCACTGCATTGGAAATTTGTCATTTAGATCCTGATTATCTAGACAGGGAACAATTTGGGACAGGAGTGCAAAAAAAATGGGATCTGAGTATATTTGAAGGCGAATGGGTCCGTGGTGCTACAGCTGGTGGCTGTGATAAATTTCAAGGTACAATTATTTTGGATAATAAAATTATTATTACAATTCGTAATGAATTATAATAATATATAAGATTATAAGATATTATATATGAGATGTTGATCAATGGTTATTTAGATACGTTTTCAAGTAATCCTCAGTACTATGTAACATTAGTAGATCCAGACGATAATGACAATAAGCATACTTGTACCGTAATTATTTCATTGATGCTCAAGGATATGCGCTGCCAAAAGAAACACAGGGATACATCACTGTCATTTGGATTTTATGTTTATAATGTAAGTAGGATAATAAGGTATCATAATTTTTTTTAAAGTTATTCTATTACTTTGATAATAATACAAGTTGTAAAATGTACTTATTATTTCTAATGATGCTCACTCTATTAATTTATCGCATAGCTCAACACTTCAGAGTCTGTGCCGAAACCATTGGACACAAATTTTTTTAAAAATAACCGTCCTTTAGATAAGTTCTTTAATTGTCCTGAGTTCAAACCAAGAGAAGTCTGTAAGAGATTGAATGTACCTCCTGGTAAATATTGTATTGTAACTTGTACGTCTAACCAGAATGAACAAGGCTCGTTTTTACTCAGAGTATTTTCAGAAAAAAAAAACAATTT